TGATCTGCATCTGCTCCAAAACCAAGACATCCAAAGGTGTTCCACGCTAAAGCTGTCCCCACACCCCTCTTGTAGTAGCACAGAGACGTCTCCAAGGCAGAAGTCCAGAGATGTTTGATCAAGAGGGTGAAGTTGTTGCCGTCGTTTTCCTGGATTCCTCGCCCAAGGCGGAAAAAGAGCAAGGAACAAGCAGAAACAGAGACCCATCAGCACCCACCCTCCAAGGAGAAACCTCCCTTTCCTGGGAGAGGGCAGCTCCTGCTCCAAGAGCTGAGCGTGTGGGAGCACGTCCTCCTCTCCCCGAGCTGCTGCCGAAAGGCACTCGAGGAATGCCAAAAAAATCAAATGCCTCTCGTTACACCCCGAGCCCCCAGAACTTGTCGAGGAAGCCGGTTTCTCAGGACGTGATCCTCAGGTGCCCAGGGCCGGGGGAGAGACATCTCCCCAGGGGTTGCAGGAGGAGGGTTGCAAGAGAAGTTCTTCAAACGCAGGAAGGTGCCACAGGGCAGTCTGGTCTCCCACGCTGTTTTTCCAGGTACTTGAGTGCTTTCCAGGGGGGAGCATGGATGGGGAGAGACATCTCCCCAGGGGTTGCAGGAGGAGGGTTGCAAGAGAAGTTCTTCAAACGCAGGAAGGTGCCACAGGGCAGTCTGGTCTCCCACGCTGTTTTTCCAGGTACTTGAGTGCTTTCCAGGCAGACACGAGGAACTTCAACATCACTAATGACAACCAGGACAGGACCCACACTCAATCTGCAACTTCAGGACCCAGGCTGGGGATGGAGAACCAGGAGGTAGCTGATGTGCAAACCCCTGACCCTCCTACGCTCCTCCACACACTGGTGCAAGAACATGCTTTGACCATGCTCTTATGGGGTTTTTCCTCTGCACTGTACCAAAATCATAGAAAGGTTTGGGTTGGATGGGACATTAAAGATCATCCAGTTCCAACTCTCCTGCCATGGGCAGGGACATCTCCCACCAGACCAGGTTGCTCAAAGCCCCATCCAACCTGGCCTTGAACCCCTCCAGGGATGGGGCAGCCACAACTACATCTACAACTCTCTGGGCAAAACGGGTATAAGCATCTTGAGGAAGGAGCCTAGATCCTGCTGGCTCCTGCATCTCCTCACCCAGTACCAGCCAGGTGGATCTCCTCACTCCACTGTGTCAATCTCCTCACTCCACTGGTTACCAACCAGGTGGATCCAACCATCTAAACTCTTGTTCTCCCTTCTCCAGAGTCCAGCAAAAGCTACAACCTTGCTCCTGCCACCTCTTCCACCTCCCCAGTGGAGAGGACACGCTGTGGGACCCTGGAGATGTGGGGTGGTGACAGAGCCTGCCTCATTGCACAGTGTCCATCAGGACAAGCCATCAGCAGTAACAGCTTCAGCTGTCCACACAGACGTCCATCCAACACGTCACGTGTTCTCAGCTCAGCCAACACCACTCTCCCCTACTTGAGGATAATTTTTTTACTAATTTTATAATTTTTTTTTAAGTTCTTCAGTAAGGTCTCCCCACTCCAGGACGCAAGGAAGCACATCCCACAGCAGTTATCCTTGCTCCTGCCTGGGTTCTCCTGCCAAGCTACAGCCAACGCCGAGCAAGACTCACTGCTGGATTTTTTTTCTTTTGTGCAGAGATTAAAAAAAATAAATAAATAAATGTGGTTTTGACCTGCCCCGTGACATTCTTCCCACCGCGAGGGGAGTGATGGCCTTTCCCAACCCCTGCCTCCCCCAGCTCCTCCCAGAAATTCATCTCCGCGAGCGGCGAGGGCACGGAGCCGGGATTTTGAAGGATGACTAAGTGTAGAAACACCAGCAGCTGATTAACAGCAGCTCGCCGAAGCTTAATTTCTAGTTAAGTTGAAGAGTTGAGTATTTTTATTTTTTTTTTAACCTCTCCAAGCCCTACCTTGGCTTTTTATTTATACTTTTAACCACTCCTCAACGAGCTCCTCTGGTAGAACTGCAGCCCAGCTTCAGAGCTCGATGCCTCCCCGGTCCCCAGGGCAGGGTGGCAATGCCAGTCTCCACCCAACCGTGGCTTTCCAAAGCCCTGAGGATCCCCAAGCCCCAAACCCACTGTTTTTTCCCCCAAGGGAACGGGGCGGAAAGGCCAAAGTCCACCCACACCCTGTTCCTTGCAAAGGCGGATCGCAAACGCCGCAGCGGGAGGTGTTTCCTGGTCAGTGTGGCTAAGCATAACCAGTAAAAAAAAAATAAAAAAATAAAAAAAAATAACCCAAACTCCTTGCAATTACAGATATAAACTCCCCTGAGAGCTCAGATCAGAGATAGCTGGAGCTGAAATTGCTGCGAGTCTCTCAGGGTTTTCACAGAGGGCTTCGTCAGCACTTGCTCCTGCGGTGGCAGTTTGCAGCGTGAAAGATAAAAACAAGGAACAAAACCAAAAAAAAACCACCCAACAACAATAATAAAAGAGAAGGGGGGGGGAGGAGATTCGAGTCAATTAGAAAAATAACAGGAAGCTGCCAAAAAGCGTGTCGTCACATCGGCAGCGAGAAAACATTAGAAAAGGGGGGTTCTGTCCTTCCCCCGGGGTATAAAGGATGGTGTGGGGTGAAGGAACTGCAGGGATGGAGGAGGAACCAGGGTCCTGCCAGCTTTTCGGGGTGCTCAGCACCCCTAAAACCCTCCACACAGACCACAGGATTCTTTCTTGAACCACTAAATTTCCCCCTCCCCGCCTCGCGCCGTCGGTGGTTTTCAGCTTGAGAAAGCAACGCCGCTATTGAGGCGCTCATTTAGGTGCAGATTTTAGTTACCAGGACCCCTCGTTTCCCAAATTCGGGGTAAACACCAAGGGATTATTTCAATTTACCTTTTGCCACCAGCCAAGGGGGCATCAGCTCGCGGCAGTTCCCCTTTTTTCAAAGGGCTGAGCAAGTTCAGCTGCGCGATGGGGAAATTAAAATCTAAGAGAAAAATCAAGTTATCAGCTCGCCAGGCTCCTAGATCTTGTTAAAAACGCACGGCCGATTCCGGCAACAGGAAAAAAAAAAAAAAAAGAACATTCAATAAGTAAAGCAAAAGCTAAGAATTATCTCAAGTCGAATTTGGGATTCAAACATTTCCTGCAGAGCAGATCCTGCTCTAATTTGCCTTGCAAAATTACGTTTAGATCCCGATAAAACCTGCCGTACTTGGCGAGGAGGACAAAGAGCTACAGAATCCCCCAAGGGAAAAAAAAAAAAAAAAAAAAAAAACACCACAATCTGGAAAGCCAACTTTTCGCCCCAAAAGCTGCCTCCCCCCAAAAGGAATCGCTCCCAGGTATTTCAGGAGAAGGCTGATGGGAGGAGGTGGGAGTTCTTTGCTCTCTACGATAACCACGGTGAAGTTTGAAGGGCATCAAGCACGTGCAGAGGAAGGGTTTTTTTTTTTTGCTGAACCCACCACAAAACGAGAGCTCAGGAACAAGCGGTCGTGGAAAAAATGACTTTTCAAGATGACATCCGTGACGCCAAAGGCTTGGTATGAAACCACATCACCTCTGATAACACTCCAGGCTGCTCAGTTGGTGGTTAAAAAGGAGCAAACCTCGGGCTGAGAGTCAGAGTAGAAAAGATTCTTTTTTTTTTTTCTGAGATTTAGGTGCTGACCCATTCAGAATTCAGGTTTGGGAGCAGGAGCGCGTCGCCGCTAGCCCAACGCGTGGTCACGGTAGCCCAGGCCCAATGATCCTCGTCAGCGGGGCCACCGCGCGCCGCGTCACCTCACCAGGCGGCGTCTCGAGTGGCAGGGCTGGAAAGCAAGAGCTGTTTATTCATTATTCATCATCGTTTCCACCATCTCGAGCTCCCATTTCAGCTTCAACCCAGACCTCGTGCCTTTTCCGGCCACGAAACCCAACCACGGGGCACCTACAAAGAAAAGTTCCACCTCAGTGATGGTTCTCCAGAACCTCTCCCAGCCCCAAATCCAGGTGGGTTGGATGGGAGGGATAAATTTTCATCAAGAAAGGATGATTTTTTTTTTTCTTTTGGGAGTTATTCCTAAGAAGCCCACGAAGATGGAGAAGGACTCTTTGCCAGGAAGGGTAATGATAGGACAAGGGGAAACGGTTTTAAATTGGAAGAAAAAAGATTCAGATGAGATCTCAGGAAGAAATTTTTTACTATGAGGGTGGTGAGACACTGGAACAGGTTGCCCAGGGAAGTTGTGGCTGCCCCATCCCTGGAAGTGTTCAAGGCCAGGCTGGATGGGGCCTTGAGCAACCTGGGCTGGTGGGAGGTGTCCCTGCCCAGGGCAGGGGGGTTGGAACTCGATGACCTTTGAGGTCCCCTCCAACCCAAACCATTCTATGATTCAATTTTGCTCTGCTTTTCTCAGCAGAGCTCCTCATCTGGAAGGACCATCTCCACTGCACAACTCCCACAGAGGAGGTTTCTTGCCGGTAAAGAGATGAGAAAAAGGTCACATCCCGCATCTTCAAACCCAACTCTACCCCCTCTCTGTTGTCTCCAAAAGGGACCTGAGGGTGTTTTTACCGGCAGGAAACCAAGTGCAGAGTCAGCTGGTCCTGCCAGGAGCGACAGACACCCCGGCCTCGGGGCGGTTTTGTGCTCACATTTTCCGGCGACGAGAGAGAACAGCGGTGGGGCCGCAGTTAAACAGCCACACGTGCCCCACAGGCCCCCATTTATGGAAAAAAAAATAATATAAAACCACACCGAAAATGACACACAGGCAGGGGACAGAGATGTAGCAACGGCTGGAGAATTTAAGGGAGCCTAAAGGGAGGGAGGGGAAATGCTCCTGACACCCCTCGATGGCTGCAATTCAGCCCCCGGGCTTTTCCTCTTGATTCCCTCCTCTCAGATGATTTACACCAGGAGATCAAATTCACAATCAAATAAAAAATAAGTCGCACGTTAGAAGGCAAGGAAAAGAACCTCATTAGCAAACGGGAGAGCAGCTCCTGAACAATACACACAAGAGAGACGAGGGGGAATAAATAAATAATTACTTGTGCTTGACGGTCTCCTCTTCGTCGTCTTCTCTGAGCTGCTTGTTCTCAGGTTCTCCATCGTCCTTGTTCTGAAAGAAGAAGTTGAATTGTCAGGTTGTGGCCTCTCTGGAAATACCTGAGAGCAAAAAGCAGGCCAGAAACCCTCCCGAGGGGCAGTTTGAACTGGCTTTTATATCATGACACCCTGAAATTAAGCCTGGTTTCCTTTTTCTCCCCGTAGTGCCCTGCCAGCACGGTAAATAAACGTGAGAACAGCCTCAAATGGGTGAGTTGCAATTAATAACAGAGCTCAGAAACCTCATCTTGTGTTTGAGTTACGACCTGGATGGAGGAGGGAAAGGAGACAGGGGACCAGAAACGGAGCCTTCACCCCATCACAGACTTGGGAGTTAAATCCCCCTGCGACCAGCTTCAGAAGAAAAGCTGGATGTTACTGGGATGCTTGAAGGGAGCTACAGGAAAAAAATTTTTAAAAAAGTATAAAAAAGAGAGAATAGAAGTTTAGGAAGTGAACAAGCCTACGCTGGGCTGGCCCAGGAGGCAGCAGATCACCTGTAAAAATCCAGAGAGCTCACTCACGTCGGCAGGCTTCCCACAAGTCCCTTTCCTTTACTCCTAAATAATCATTTTGGAGGTTTTTAACAGGTTGGGAAACGAGCCGGCGGCAATCAAACAGCCACGGGCACAACAAAGGGTCCAGAAACACCACGCAAAGTAACGTAAATCAAATTTCCCCTTAACAGGGTGTTCCAGTCTCCCAAAGAGGCTCATTGTGCATCATCCAGACACTGGCACTAACAGCTTATTAATCGAGTTACCAATTATATTTATTAATATCCGGACAGGCACAGATACCCAACGTTACCAATAATGAGCCGGAAAGGGGTTTGGATGGGTTCTCACACTTATTAACTACTTTCTTTCAACTGCTCAACAAAGTATGTTCCGTGGCAAACCCTAATTTTGCAATATATTGTTATAGGAAAAGCAACAAATGAGCAACTTCCTTGGAAGCAGTTGCTTTTCTGGGTGAACTCCCCCTCACCCTCCAAAAGAACAGGAAAATGTGGCAAATTAAAGCCTTTATTTCCTTGAGCGCGGCCGGTTCCAGCAGGAGGCGTTTACCCCAAGCAAACAGGTAATAAATATGAAGTATTTTGTAATATTTGGCCACGGTTCACGTTGCCACCGAACAGCCAGGGGCTGTTTTGCCAACATCCATCTCCGCCTTTCAACAGGAACAGCTCCGAGACCGGAGAAATTATGTCCTTTCATCGCACGGCAAAGGTTACGGGTCCTTTTCACCCAGTTTTCAAAGAGCTGGAGCCCTTCGGGTCGGTCAGTTCAAAGGCTTTTCTTTTTTCAACTAATATGATATTTTTTTCACCAATGTGAATTTTTCAAATGCACATTTTTTATACGTTCACACGTCTCTTTGGAAAATTGCAAGCAAAAATTGGTTACGATGAGAAGATGACCAACATCACGCTATCCCTGACCCTCCAAAAGGACCAGAAAGGTTTTCCTCATGAACAGCTTGTTTATAATATCTTGACTATACGAACTTTAAAACTCCATCCTGGGTTAAAAATTAAGATTAGGTGCAAAAAAGGGAGGCGAAGCCAGGAAACCAGTTCAGTTCTGGTTCAGGTTCAGCTCCCGATCAAAGGGCAAGAAAAACGCCCTTTTTAGACAGAAAAAAATAAAAATAATTCCTAAAACCAATATTTAATTCCGTTTTAACTCCCTGTTTCGTGATTTTATTTTTAAGGCCATAGTAACCTTGTGATATTTGCACAGATATTTCTTGCTCGATAAAGAGCTTGGCTCCCCCGAGCACGTGCAGCCTGAGGTTAAATTTCTGGTGGGAGCTGAGCGCCAGGGAATATTTAGACACCTTTCAGTCCACGTTATTTAAAGTCCTGGGAAGTACCTTCCTGTGCTCTCAAGTCCTTTCTCATTCCTTTCCTCTCTTGCATACCTCCAGCGCACGCGCGTAGAGACCGCATTCCCCTCATTCTTGCTAGAATTTTATCCAGGAGGGGTTTTTAAGCAGAAATCCTAAAGAGGTATTTGGCAAGAATTATTCCCATCGAGCCAGGGCTGTTCTTCCCACCGCAGGCTCTTTGCAGCTCTGAAAATCTTTATTTTCCCCCCCTGTGCTGAAATAATTTCCCCTTAAAATCCTACCACTCTTCTAAGAGCTCGCCCCAAATCCCCAATTCCAATTTATTCCCCATAACCACCCCAATCTTTTCTAAAGTCCCGGTGATATTCCTAGAAAAATTGAGCAATTTCATGTCCCTGCAGAAAAAAAACAGGGAGTTTTTTCTCCACTGCAGCTCTCCTTTCTAGCACCTTTTCGGATGCCATGGAGAATGGATGACAGTCTCCCTGGGGGTGTCCCGAGCCAGAAAAAAAACAGATCATCCATCATCCACCGCTAATTAGGATCCACCAGATCAATTAGAGCGCAAGGAAAACACAACTGAGGTCTGAAAAAGGGGTGGCTGAAGTCAGGCTCCCTCCCGCCACCCCCCCAAGAAAGAGAAATTAATGCCGGTTCCTCTGTTTGCGAAACGGTCCCTAAATAAGATTTCGGTTTCACGGGGAGAGTGATGAAAAAGAAAACAACCCCACAGCCACAGGCCACACGTGGTGAAACCTCCAGCAGCGTCGGGGACACAGAAAAGAAACTCTGCAAAGAAACAGCTCGTTGCCCCCCTCAAAAAATGGATTTTCTAAAGCAATCTTTAAGGGATGCAGGAGAGAAAAGTTGTTTCTCCTCTTTAGATCGCCTGGCTTTTTGCAATTTGAATTTCCAGCCAGGCTGCTGGAAAAAGCCCTCATCACGAGGGTTTCCTGTGCTTGAGTTCCTGCCAGCTGAAAAAAAAAAAAAATTTTAAAAAAAAAGGCAAAATTATAAGACGACAGCGGCTCGCTCGAGATGCCGTGCAGGGGGAGCAGTCTGAAATCTAAATATACATGTAAAATTGCAGCTGATTAAAATCGCTTCTCGACGGTTTTATGCCAGAGCAGGCAGCAAACGGGGCGCACCCCAGACTTTGGAGAACCCTCCTCTGCTTTTCACTCTTCCTCACCCAAAACGTTGGGGTTTCCCCGCCACGTGAGGAAACCAAAATTTAAGTTACTCTGGCAGAAAGAGATAATTAAAGTGCACAGGCTGCATCCATCGGCGCCATCGATGAACCCGGCTAAAATATGAAGCCTCCTGGGTAACATCACCTTGCCCGAGTGTAGCTCAGAGGGTGGTACCTAAAAAGCCATTAATATCTAGACAGAAAAGGGGAAAAAATAACGTTCCTTTGATACGCTGCTTAGTGGAGATGACTAACAGCCCTCGCAAAGAGAAGCGATTGGGGGTTTGCAACCAACATCTCCTTCCTCCTTCCTCAACCACCTTCCCTCTCCAGCCACTCCTGAAGCCCCACGCGATATTCGGAGCCGTTGGTGAGGACGTTGAGCCTCCGCGGGAGCAAAGGGCTGTAGAAAAGGGGATCTGGTTACCATGATCATTTATTGATAAGGAAACAGCCTCTCAAACATGCAACTTATCTCATAGCTCCATGTTTTCCCACTGCCCCATCTCTCTCGTCTTTCTTCTCTGCCCACGCTGGGTTTATCTGATCACTCAGGATCTTGGGGCTCTTCACTTTGCTCTGAATTTTTGTCCTAAGACCAGAGAATGGTTTGGGCCTGGAGCCCCTTGAGGGACTGGAAGGGGCTCCAAGGTCTCCCCGGAGCCTTCTGCCCCTTCGTCATCCTCTTCGAGTATTTCTGTTTAACGAGTTGTGTCACAACTTTTATTTCTTAACTCAGGAAAGGAACTATTCCTCCCCCAAAACAGCATTTGCCCCGATCACCAGTTCGTTCCTCAAGCGTTTGAAGGCGTTTCCCTTCGCTCGCTGGCGGTCGCTCTCCCCAGGTGCGTAGACGCGCTTCGACTCTCACTCCTTTTCACTTCATTTTCTCACATTTCAAACCTTCACACGGCAAAGGGAGCCCAAAATAACCCCTCCACTGTTCCACTCTCGCTCTCAGCGATTCCTCTTTTCGAGGCACCCCGTGGCGAGGTGTCTATTATTAGCTGTAAATCGTAAGAACGGAGAGAGGCGCAACAAACCTACAAGACCGTTGGCCAACACAAAGTCATGCCCATCCTTCAGCCTCAGGAAGGAGACACTCCCAAAAGAAATTCCCAACATTAAAAACCTCGCTCGCTCGTGCTCTCCTGCCTACTTTAATTTACAGACATCACAACCAGCAACCATTGGCTTGTAGCTGCCAACATGGAGATTTTTTGCTCCATGGATTCCCACTCTTCCAAAAGAGCTCGGAGATGAAAAGAGTTTAATCCACCGTGTAAATCCAAAAAAGATTTGCATCAGGGTGTTCAAAGAAAGGTGTCAGCTGCCTCCCTGCAACACCCAAAAGGCTTTACATGGGATCAGTAAAGAGTTTCTGCTCCCAGCTGAAGGTAGGCAGGGAATGGATGATGGTCTGCAAGGTTCAGAACCTGGGTCCTGCAAACCCAAGATTCTACCCCTCTACTGGAGATTCTCCCCCTCTGCAGCACTCTGGGGAGACCCCACCTGGAGCACTGTGTCCAGCTCCCAGAGTCCTCAGCACAGGAAGGACATGGAGCTGTTGGAGTGGGGCCAGAGGAGGCCACGGAGATGCTGGGAGGGCTGGAGAACCTCTGCTGGGAAGGGGGGCTGAGAGAGTTGGGGGGTTCAGCCTGGAGAAGAGAAGGCTCCGGGGAGACCTTGGAGCCCCTTCCAGTCCCTCAAGGGGCTCCAGGAAAGCTGGGGAGGGACTCTGCATCAGGGAGGGGAGCCAGAGGAGGAGGACCGTGTAAATCCAAAAAAGATTTGCATCAGGGTGTTCAAAGAAAGGTGTCAGCTGCCTCCCTGCAACACCCAAAAGGCTTTACATGGGATCAGTAAAGAGTTTCTGCTCCCAGCTGAAGGTAGGGAGGGAACGGATGATGGTCTGCAAGGTTCAGAACCTGCGTCCTTCAAACCCAAGATTCTACCCCTCTACTGGT